ACCAGTCAGTGCATGTGTATCAGTACCAGTGAGAGCATCACATCTCATCAGCCTTGCACTGGATCCTGCTCAGCAGGTTTTGATGAGACTTGAGTTGACCCACAGAGTTAACCTGGTCATGTGGAACCGCCCTCATCACCTCTGACTCACCATAGCTCAGACTGGCTGCTGGCTGGTGCCACTGGTGGTCAGCCAAGGGCTTGGCTCTGCTTCAAGGCACATCACCATCAGTCCACCCTGCATCTGCTGTGGTGGCCAAGTTGAGGATCTGATGGCAAGCCAGGGGATGGAGAGAGGATAAGGATGTCACGAAAAGCCTCACAGGTACTACTGACTGCTCCAAACCAGAATGGTAGAGGCGACTTCATCAGGATGGTAGATATGCCTTCTGGTATGTCATTTTCCCGAGGATTTCAGCGCGATGTGAGCGCCGCCTGCTCTTTCCATGCACTAGCACGCGGTACTGCGGTATTCTATGGTACGTCCGAGCACGAGACGTGGCAACTCGAAACACGTGTCGCTCAGTATTGACGCTGCGCAGGGTGCGAAAGTGTCGCTCAGTACTGGCGCTGCTGAAGGTGCGAAAGTGCCGCTCGGTACTGGTGCTTCTCAAGCTGCGAAAGTGCCGCTCAGTGCTGGCGCTGCTCAGGGTGCGAAAGTGCCGCTCAGTACTGGCGCTGCTGAAGGTGCGAAAGTGCTGCTCAGTACTGGCGCTGCTCAGGGTGCGAAAGTACCGCTCAGTACTGGCGCTGCTGAAGGTGCGAAAGTGCCGCCCAGTACTGGCGCTTCTCAAGCTGCGAAAGTGCCGCTCAGTACTGGCGCTGCTCAGGGTGCGAAAGTACCGCTCAGTACTGGCGCTGCTGAAGGTGCGAAAGTGCCGCCCAGTACTGGCGCTTCTCAAGCTGCGAAAGTGCCGCTCAGTACTGGCGCTGCTCAGGGTGCGAAAGTGCCGCTCAGTACTGGCGCTGCTCAGGGTGCGAAAGTACCGGTCAGTACTGGCGCTGCTCAGGGTGCGAAAGTGCCGTTCAATGCTGGCGCTGCTCAGGGTGCGAAAGTGCCGCTTAATACTGGCGCTGCTCAGGGTGCGAAAGTGCCGCTCAGTACTGGCGCTGCTCAGGGTGCGAAAGTGCCGCTCAGTACTGGCGCTGCTGAAGGTGCGAAAGTGCCGCCCAGTACTGGCGCTTCTCAAGCTGCGAAAGTGCCGCTCAGTACTGGCGCTGCTCAGGGTGCGAAAGTGCCGCTCAGTACTGGCGCTGCTCAGGGTGCGAAAGTGCCGCTCAGTACTGGCGCTGCTGAAGGTGCGAAAGTGCCGCCCAGTACTGGCGCTTCTCAAGCTGCGAAAGTGCCGCTCAGTACTGGCGCTGCTCAGGGTGCGAAAGTGCCGCTCAGTACTGGCGCTACCCAGGGTGCGAAAGTGCCGCTCAATACTGGCGCTGCTCAGGGTGCGAAAGTGCCGTTCAATGCTGGCGCTGCTCAGGGTGCGAAAGTGCCGCTTAATACTGGCGCTGCTCAGGGTGCGAAAGTGCCGCTCAGTACTGGCGCTGCTGAAGGTGCGAAAGTGCCGCCCAGTACTGGCGCTTCTCAAGCTGCGAAAGTGCCGCTCAGTACTGGCGCTGCTCAGGGTGCGAAAGTGCCGCTCAGTATTGGCGCTACCCAGGGTGCGAAAGTGCCGCTCAATACTGGCGCTGCTCAGGGTGCGAAAGTGCCGTTCAATGCTGGCGCTGCTCAGGGTGCGAAAGTGCCGCTTAATACTGGCGCTGCTCAGGATGCGAAAGTGCCGCTCAGTACTGGCGCTGCTCAGGGTGCGAAAGTGCCGCTCAGTACTGGCGCTGCTCAGGGTGCGAAAGTACCGCTCAGTACTGGCGCTGCTCAGGGTGCGAAAGTGCCGCTCAGTACTGGCGCTGCTCAGGGTGCGAAAGTGCCGCTCAGTACTGGCGCTGCTCAGGGTGCGAAAGTGCCGCTCAGTACTGGCGCTGCTCAGGGTGCAAAAGTGCCGCTCAGTACTGGCGCTGCTCAGGGTGCGAAAGTACCGGTCAGTACTGGCGCTGCTGAAGGTGCGAAAGTGCCGCCCAGTACTGGTGCTTCTCAAGCTGCGAAAGTGCCGCTCAGTACTGGCGCTGCTCAGGGTGCGAAAGTGCCGCTCAGTACTGGCGCTACCCAGGGTGCGAAAGTGCCGCTTAATACTGGCGCTGCTCAGGGTGCGAAAATGCCGCTCAGTACTGGCGCTGCTCAGGGTGCGAAAGTGCCGCCCAGTACTGGTGCTTCTCAAGCTGCGAAAATGCCGCTCAGTACTGGCGCTGCTCAGGGTGCGAAAGTGCCGCTCAGTACTGGCGCTGCTGAAGGTGCGAAAGTGCCGCTCAGTACTAGCGCTGCTCAGGGTGCGCCGCTGCAACGCTGTCATTTTCCAAGGTTCGCGCAAGTTAGCACGTTCCAGTCTAGTATCTTGCCACTGCACGCATATGTGGGGAGATTCATTTTTCCAGTCTTGATGTCCGTTGTGTAGTCCTTGGCAGATTTGTGTGACGTACCTGCCGACTGACGGCCGGCTTTGAACAGAGTACTCCCGAACGCTCCGAAGAGAGGTGTTGTGGCGTGACCCGTGCGACGCTCGGAGGCTCCCACCAGACTCCAGAACTCTGCAGCGGAATCCTTCATACCTGCGTAGACGTGTTCATTTTACCGGTCGGTTGATATTGCCCACAGGTACTGGCCCGTTGGTGCTGTGAAAATTAGCGGCATGTTTAAACTGGGATAACAATTTGATTTCATCCACATTTAGGCTTACTTTTGCGATACGGGACTGATCTCGTGTGCCAGATGGTGTGTGGATGATATTCCGCTGTTGTATCACTCCGATTTGTCAGGTGCGTGTCCCGTGCTCTCAATACAAGCCGTCTATAGTCAACATCGCTTGTTTTCACCATGAATCCAATGTGGAGCAATTGAATAAAAAATGTCGATAAGATGTTCAACTTACACGCCTGGATATTACACTTCATGCGACGCAGGCCTTGACCTCAGTTTTGATGACGGCGTGCATCTTAGTTCCAAGTGTCACCTGGCCAGCGGGTTACCGAAAAGCCATCGACGAGCAGCTCCCTTGTATTACGGCGTCCTTCCCGCCACACCTGCGACCTATCGGTGACTAACGCCGACGTCCCACCCACCCCCACCCTGATGACCCATCGGTGACGACCGCCGATGTCCCACCCGCCACAACCGCGGCACATCGGTGCGGACCGCCGAAGTCGCGGTCATCATATCTTTTGCCTGATGATGTGGTCGTACAGCACCACCTGCGTGTAGTTGGACGATTGCACGAGCGTGCGCGTGGAGCTGTCGCCGGGCGTCTCGGTGCGCGGGTCCACGCTGACCACCTTGCGGTCGCGCCTCGACTTGAACACCATCCCGTGCACGCTCTCGGAGAGCACGGTCCAGTTGACCGTGTTGTTGCAGCGCGAGCTCTGCGTCTTCCAGTTGAAGTAAGCCAAGTCGTTGACGCGCGGCATGAGGCGCGCCTCGCCGCTAAAGTACTCGCGGAACGCGTCGCTCCTGAGTCGCTGTGCGTAGTCCACGTAGCCTGAGATCTCTTGGTTGCGCTCGTTGAGGCTGCGCAGGAAGATGATGGTGGCGACGCGGCCGTCGCGGTTGACGGCTTCGCGCTCGGCCAGCGCGAGCAGCAGCGGGTCTTCGAGCTCGAGCCCATCCGCAGCGAGGCGGTCCTCACGCGAGTCCCGAGACACCTTGGACGCCTCAAACTCGCGCCGCCGCTCGGCGAACTCGTGCCGCTTCATGAACTCAGCCGTGCCGCGATAGCCGAGCTCAACGATGGCACGCGCCAGCGTCTGGTCCTCCAGGTAGAACATGTCCTGCCAGGAGGCGATCGAATCGAGGTACGCCTCGTACGTCTCGAAGTGCGCGACGGCGTTCACCGTCTGCAGGTGTTCATCGCTCGACATGGCGAAGCACGGGTTCGGCACGATCGGAGGTCGGTTAGAGGTCGCCTGGGCTACGGGCGTACATGGCCATGATTTGTTACTGCTGTACTAAGAGGAGAAATAGGAAGCAAACGCATTTTCGGCATAAAGGCACGGGAATATGCACGCACAAAAACCAAGATTAACATCGGAAATGGATCAATGCTCGTGATGTACTTCGCATCCTCTGAAATTGAAGCTCCGGTTTCGTCATTTCAGCTAAATTCAGCCCCCAACTGTGAAGCGGCGTAGTATTTTCAACCGGCTACGGTCCGATCGAGAATCCTGGAAGACGTGCAACGCTGGTCGCTGATCGGAAGTCGGCCGGGAGAGAGATGGGAATACCCAGGCGTAGAAATGTCTTGAAAAAGTTGGTTGTGTATATGGAGGGGGAACTGTCGATTTTTTTAAACGAGTCGTGTTTTCGTGAATCGCCATAGAGTTCATCAAACATTCTCAAAAGTAGTGGGGGAGCCTGCTATCCTTACGCCTAGACGTCGCCTCACACGATGAATGATTTTTGTAGTGTTAGGTTGGTGGGGGCCAAGACGGTCAAATGATGATTTCAGGGAACGTTCCGTTTGATTTTTTCGCTGGATGTCGCGGTCGTAGGTCATGCGGTCTGGTCTCTAGGTCTGAGAAGTCATACTTCGAGACAGTATGCGAGGTGGTGAAATTGTGGTGGAGATGGTGATGGAGATGAGTGGCATAACTAATGCGTCAGTTGCATATGCTTTACGAAGTGCCGACAGCCAGCGGATATCACCGTTCCGATTACCAGACAGCGGGTGAAGCTCAAATACCAGGCATTACGGCTTTGTTGTTGCCAAAGCCCGGCAATTGGTGTGAGATGTTAGCAGCGCATTCTGCTAAGAACTCAGCACTAGCATCCATTTGTCGTAATTGCGATAAACCCGAAACAATAAGAGGCGGCGGGGATATTGCTACCAAATTATCTGGCAATTCAGGAACAGAATATTTCAATTGCGGCGTGCAAGTTACATGTGGATGCTATATTTGCCTGGTGTTGTACCTCTGCGTCACATGATAATTGAGTGTCCGTCGTCCTGCGCCCGTCTGGACGGGTGGAACCAGGTCAGCTGGAAGAAGAAAATAAGGACGTCTTTAAAAACATCAGAGCTTGTACTCCGTTGAGGGTCCACGGTGAACTGTTCATCTCACAGGTTTGCTGCAACTCACAACCATTTTCTCACTCCATTGTCATTGCCAATTATTTTGGGCGGGGAAGGATTTTAGCCTTTTGTGGCTGTTAAAGTTTGTATTGTTTTTGGATTTTAGTGTTATGTTCATGTTTGACCTGTACTGACATATCCAGGTGTACATGACAATATATGGCATTTTGGTATGTTGGCATAATATTTGTGCCAAGACTGAGGAAAATAGAGCCTTGCTGGAAGGATATGGTCAGTTTTATGTTGTGTTTGGGTTTACAAATCACCCATTAGTGTGGATGCTGTGTGTGTGTGATGTGTGATGCATAGTGGATGCTGGTGAGTGTGGGAAAGTTCAACCAGGGGCTCATCTACCAAGTGGACATGATGAGATGGTGTTGTTCAGCAAGAAGGACCTTGAGTTCTCATTGACTATTCACTCAAGTTTGGAGGAATGTGTTAACAGGACCTTTTGAATCACCAGGCACACCTTCATCACATTAGATGCCACCACATCGCCATTGTGCCTTAACATGATCATCAGGGTGATCATCCAGCCCTGAGTATGTAAACTCAGTGTGGGGCCAAGCTGTAAGAATGGCCCATGATGTGATGGAAAGGGTGCAGAGAAGAGCTGCATAGCATGTTTAATCTCCTATGGTACCTCAGTTATGATAATTGACTTTCTGACCTGAAACTACCAAACCTGTACTAGAGGCAATGCAGAGGTGATAGTTCATGGTTTGTCAGATCATGTCTGGGCATTTGAGGATGAGAACAGCTTATCTGTTGAAAGAACTTGTCTGGATAGATATATGAATACCAGCTGAAGCTTATTTTACCAAGAGCAAGTACTGTATACAGCAGTCTTTCTCTTGTTGCCCTGTCCTCCAGTCATGGAATGAACCCAGCTGTACCCAGCCATAGTGATGGCTCCCCCAACTTGAATAATCTTCAAGAATCAGACAGACAGACATTGGGAGCACTGCTGATATAGCCTGAGGCCTATTCTGAGTTAATGACAATGTGATGGGGAGAAACAGTGACTAGCATCCTACAGATCTTTGCCAATATTCAATTTTGTGTTGTCTGACCTCATACCCTCATCAGCTCACTTGTGTTATTCTCATATTCTGCTTATTTTAGTGTTGGTATTAACCAGCTGATCAAAGCAATGTCATTTGCCCATGCCATTAGGAGTTTTCTGTTTCAGGTGATTTGTTTTTGGGTTGAATGATGCAGTGCTGGTTTACTTGCTTGGATCAACCAATGCATTTGTTTTTGTGTTTTCACAGTTAATTACATATTGAATAACAATCACATACTGCCTGCACATTTACATCATTAAGGGAATGTTCCACCTTTTATAGGGTTTTGAACTGAAGTAGTCACCCTGAAATGGCTTTGTGTGGTTTACAAGCCCTGCACTTTTAAAGACCTAAATCCCTCTTGTGTCTGGGGCACACACCCTCAAAGATGTGCAGACTATTTTGAGAAGACTGCAGCATCATCCAGGCATCCATGACACCATAATGATGCCATTCAAATCCTGTCATTCTATTAGTCATGCAGTGATCAAGGCCTTCAAACATACAATTGTTGAGTCATTCATATCTAGCATTTGTGAGGTAAGCAGATATAACAGCCAGCAATTGGCTCTCAATGTTGTGCTGGGTATGTTGGCGTAACCAAGCAGTGGCATACTCGGGCATAATTACTCAACAAAGAAACTGTGTTGCCTTAAGCAATCTTTTCCACTTAAAGGCATACCAATAGTTATAGGTGAGCATATTTCATACTATCTGATGCTTGCTCCATTATATTCAAGTGTGGAACATTTCCTTTAAGGGCAATAGTTGTGTGCATACTCTTTTATGTAGTTTATAGATACATTATTGATCACATGTGTCTGATTAATGGCTTGTACAGCAATAATTAGACTAGACTTCTTCCATTGCTGCATTTTGCACTGTTTCAGGTCAGCCAGGCAGCAGTTCTCTCAAAATGACATCAACTTTTGATCCTGATGACAAGAACAGGTTTGTGTTTCCAGCCTCCTGCTAGCATCTGCACATATGTCTTTGGTGGCTGCCACCAGACCTGTGGTTCGCCAATGGACCAAAAACGAGTTGTGGTGGTGCAGGTTATACCATGGGTCATTGGGGAGTCCATGCTGATTCAAGAATCAGTGAAATTACTGTTGAGTCATGATGTAATTGATTTCTTTGAACAAGTTGTGGGATGTTGTCAGGAGTTCTTGTAGAGCACACTCAAAATGTAGACCCAAGAAGCAACTTTGTTTGATAGAGTTTATTTGTGGACAAAATGCCTGGTAACAGGTGTTGCTGTTTTATTAACCAGCTTCATGTCCAAGATAGACATAAATGTGGTCCATAACACAATATGTTGAGCTCTTTGTCCAAATGAACTTTGAGTAGTGGGTGAGTCCTTCTAGCTTACATTTGAGTGACCTGGCTCTGAGGGACCAGGCCCCATGATGTGTCCTCTGGCTAGCCACTCAGGCCATTCAGGCCCTCTAATAGGGTCATTGACATCAACCTTGATGGGCTTGAACCCCTGGGACTTATGGGGGCACATGCCCTCTATGTCCTCTGTGCATCCTGCCAGTATCCCTGCACTGGAATCAGCCTCTTTGGAATCAGCTCTCCATTGGCCACATATTGTCTGTGTATGTGCATCTTCAATGGTTTATGATTTTAGGCAAAAGTCTGAGTAATGTCCAAACATGCATGCTGAATGAGTCAATGTACTGTTATCTTCCCAGTTATCAGTGCCAGCCAGTCCTGTACTAAAGCATGGCTGGGGCTGCATCTGTAGCTGTGTGTCAGCCCTGTGTCCATGATTGCAGTTGGTACTTTGGCCCGATGTCACGTCAGGATGCCAACGACCTCCTGATGTCAGAGAGTGAGGGTGGCATTTTCCTGGTGCGTGACTCCACCAGCATCCAAGGCGACTATGTCCTCTGTGTCCGTGAGGACAGCAAGGTCTCACACTACATCATCAACAAAATAGTTGAGGATGACCAGGTAGGCTTGTCTTGTTTTGTGTGATTAAGAATGGCCTTTTGCTGACAGCTTTGTTTGTGACCAAACCAACTGGCTGGTGTACAGTTTACTAGGGGAATTTTCTTTTGTTAGACTAATAATAACTAGCTGTGTATGTATGGGAAGTGGTGGCTGGATGGCATGTCAGCCTCAGTAAGATTCCACAGTTTCTGCAGATACAGATTTCTGATACTGGGCAGCTGCTGGATTTGGATTTTTGTACATTGCTCGTGCATTTAGTGTTAGTGTTATGCTGGATGTGTAATTGGTATATAAATGCTTAATAGTGTAACAGGCAATTGTCATGTCTTAATGAAGTTTTTGATGATGATGATGATGATTCGGGGTTCTGGGGCGCATCAACTGCTGTAGGTCATGCAGCTCCCATAATGAGGTTTTTCATAACAATTACATTTCTGATTATATCTGACAGTAGGCATGACTTGCTTCAACAAAAGTAAATTTGTGTTACTTGCTACTTGTGCAAGATTATGATGATCCTCTTCCCATACATGCAGTGTTTTATGCGTCCAACAAAAGGTGAAGCACGCGTCTAAACGCACCTCACTCGCAGTGCAGTGCATTTCCTCGTCCCTAGGCGACCCGGCCACGCTGCTCCCTCGGTCCGCCCCCTCCGCGCCCATCCTCCAGTCATTCCGACCCTCCTGCTGTCCTCCCAGCTGACCCCAGCCCGCCTCCTCCGCCCACTCCTGCTGGCGGTGGCTAACGCAGGCGCCCCGGGTGGCAGACTGTGTTCCGGATCGGCGACCAGATGTTCTCCGACCTGCCCAGCCTGCTCAACTTCTATAAGCTGCACTACCTGGACACGACGCCGCTGATCCGACCAGCGCCGCGACGCGTTGAGAAGCTCGTCGCCAAATACGATTTCGACGGGCGGGTCAGTCGGGGACCGTACTGCCGAGTCGGGGGGAGGGGCTGGGGGATGTACCGCCAGGCTGGGGGATGTACCGCCGGACTGGGGGATGCTCCGCCGGGCTGGGGGAATCACCGCCGGGGTGGGGGATGCACCGCCGGGCCGGAGGATGTACCGCCGGGCTAGAGGTTGTACCGCTGGGCGGGGGGATGTGCCGCCGGGCCGGAGGTTGTACCGCCGGTCCGGGGATGTACCGCTGGGCCAGAGGTTGTACCGCCGGGCCGGAGGTTGCACCGCCGGACCGGGGGATGTACCGCCGGGCCGGGGACATTGCGGGGAAGCCATAGTATCATTAAAATAGGTGGAGACGAGAGAAGACAGGGGAAGGCAAGTGCACGCGAGAGGAAAGAGAAAACACGTAGCCGAGGCAGACATTTCACCCAGGAGAGAGGACGTTCAAGAGCTCGTGACGTTCGACGCATTTCTTTTTTCACTTCTCCGTGCGGTTTCGAATGACACCAGCGCCTGCTCCCCATCGCCCTCGGCGCCGAACGCGCGTCAGCCCGCCTGCGATCACAGTTTATTGTACCCGAGCTTGCACGGCTGCCTGCCGGGCTCCGCGGCGGTCGCACCGTCGGCTGTCCGCGCGCCGGGACCGAGTCTAGGCTGTCTGGGTCCTCAGGACGACGAGGACTTGCCGTTCAAGAAGGGCGAGGTGCTGACCGTGGTGACGAAGGACGAGGAGCAGTGGTGGACGGCCAGGAACGCGCTCGGCCAGACGGGGTCCATTCCCGTGCCGTACGTCCAGAAGGTGAGCCTGGCGCCGACCCTCAGGCCGCTGGCGCCGCACCTCTTGGATGGGCTGGTGGTGGCTCATGTGCATTTATTGCACGTGCAAGTTCTTGGGGTGTTTCCTTCCGCTGTGTGCTCGCGATGTTCCATTGATGTGCCCGTGCGTGCCGTGCCTACTGCGCGTCACTGATGCGCCCATGCCCTAAGTCGCGTCTTTGGATGTGATCGCTAAATGCACCGGAAGACTGATCCGTGACTGTCGGCGCGTGTTCTGAACGATGCGGCGGGTGTCACAGTTGTCCGTGACTGTCGGTACCCGTTCTGGTCGATGTGGCGGGTGTCACAGTTGTCCGTGACTGTCGGCGCCTGTTCTGGTCAATACGGCGGGTGTCGCCGTTGTCCGTCACTGTCGGTACCTGTTCTGGTCGATGTGGCGGGTGTCACAGTTGTCCGTGACTGTTGGCGCCTGTTCTGGTCGATGTGGCGGGTGTCACAGTTGTCCGTGACTGTCGGCGCCTGCTCTGGTCGATGCGGCGGGTGTCGCCGTTGTCCGTGACTGTCGGCGCCTGTTCTGGTCGATGCGGCGGGTGTCGCCGTTGTCCATGACTGTCGGCGCCTGTTCTGGTCGATGCGGCGGGTGTCATAGTTGTCCGTGACTGTCGGCGCCTGTTCCGGTCGACGTGGCGGTTTCGGCGTTGGAGTTGACTTTTCCCCTACGGTTTTTCGAGCACAACTAAAAAAGGAACGCTTGCAGTAACACCAGAATTTCAGTACCTGTACGTCTATCAATTTGGGATCTGTTGCGCAGATTTGAAGCCTTGATCTGCCGAGGTCAGTGACCTAGGCCAGGTCAAGTCAAAAAGTCAACTTCTAAAAAACTTCTCCCGCGCATAACTCTTTTGCGCGTTATTTACAATTGCTCAAACTTGCCGTAGCAACAGAACATGATAATACCTACAGTTTGATTTCAGCTTTTTCCAAAGAGGGGAGATCAGTGACCTGAGGTGATGTAAATGTTCGTTATTTTTGATAAATAATGCAAGTTTGTACGTGTTTATGTGTAGTTTTGGTGGTTATATATGAAGAAAAGAGTACTAGCTCACATGCACAACCATCATGTGATCAGAGATCGCAGGGCATTGGCTTAGGTCATGATCTACCTTTATATGTGCCTTTTACAAAACGCATGCTGAGCTCAAAATAGGCATTGTACTGGGTAATTTTTGGCGCAGAATTTGAATATTCCACTGAGAACATGTTATACAATTACGGTGCATAATGGCGTCATAGTAGATCACGTGAGGACATGGGGTCATGCAAGGTCAATGACTTATATAGGCAGTAGCAGAGAGGATAGATGAACGGGTGCGGCGCGTGTTGCCACCTTATTAATGTGTTCGTAAAGCTGATGACACATAATTCTTGTAACAGCGTACCCATCTTCAATTTGTTACAAATGCAGTGCCAACGGTCGAAGGGACGGTGTGTAATTTAGATACCAGCTTCATTGCACTGGTCGCTTAGACCCGGTTAGCACTTTGATTTTTCATTCGGTTAGCTTATGGATTTGATCTCGGATGACCTCAGCTGACCTCCAGGTCAGCCCAAAATAATAGTTATGTGCCTGGGATGGTTTTGTTCGACAGCTGCTTCCAATGAAATAGTCAGTCAGAAACACGTTTTGAAAAAGTAGCGGCCTTCTAGGCCTCTGGTAGACCAATTTTAAACGGTGGCCTGATCTGACCTGACACTTGAGGGGGACAGAAGTGGTCGAAATGGACTCCTCACAGTCTAAACGCTTACTTCTGTGCCCGCAATATCTGTCTTGGCGTGCTAACATATGCTTTAACTTAATCTATCAGAACAACCGTTCTTGGCCTTTCGTAACCTTTGGTGGCTTCAGATTTGACCGAAGAATGAACATTTGGCATGCATTCTTAATAGTTTGGCGTGACCTTCACAACGACACGTTTGTTTTTCTCGTAAGCCGTGTGGAAATTCGGGATCCCAGGGAGCTCAGCTCCCCCCGCTCGTTGCCGGGCGCTGTTATCTCAGACCCTCAACCGGGCGCTGATTACAGCGAGTGGGCTGTAAGGTGAGGTGAGTGGGCTGCTGCCGATAGCTTAGGCTATTTGGAGCACACAACCAAACGCCTAATGGACACTCGTGGCCTGCTTTAGATACGCACCGCGAGTTCGCTTTGCCTGGTCACGCCGTGCTACGTGACCTCTGGTGTAGTCAGGAGCGTACACAGGATCTGCATCAGGGCCTGAAATTCTTGATCGGGTGGCATGAGTTTGTATGGGTGCCATTTAAAAATCGATGGGTTTGAGCATGGGGAGGGGTGGAAAATGGGTTCGCTCAGCGCACCAGGTGGTATTGGTCCGTCAAGTCTGGCAGACTTGAAATGTGGTGTGAATATCAAATTTTTTCGTCAAAAAGCCTTCATTTGGCGGAAAGAACCGTGTTGAAATATTAGGAAGACTGACTGTGTTAAATTTCTACGCTAGTTGGCTCTGGAAAATAATCCACCATGCGATTTTCATCAAATGGAGACAATACACAAGATAGAAAGCAACCCCACCGAACGATCACTAAATGTTCAGTGTGATGTGGCTACTACACGGCATGGGGTGTGATGGTAGAATGATCACTGTAAATCATTGTAAAAGCTCGCTTACTTAAAATGGGATCGTTATGGCCTGCTTCCCTTGAACTTAAGCTGCTTAACAGTCGCAAGATTTTTGTAATGGCCCTTATTATGTATCGTATTTCACCCCAGTCCAACGTAACGTGTCGTATGAAACATATCAACAGCTTATCTACGTACCTTGGCTTTCATAGGCTGTCTTCGCCGTTACCACTCGTCCGGCGCTTGTTTGGCTCTTTATGCATTTCATTCATCACACGGAGTTGGCCGGTGTACCGATCCAGTCCAGTCCAATCAACGGAATAATAGATAAGTCTTATATTTGTCCATTGGGTGAGGTCTTGCGTTTTTACGCAACATCAAAGGCAATGTTACTGATACAAATACATTCACCGCTAATTCGTTGGTCTTTGGCAAATTGACGCTTTTAAGGAATTATATATATATGTATATATATATATATATATATATATATATATATATATACATCACGCCATTAATGCAATTAATTGTGAATATTATTCGTTTATCATGGCCGAGTTCTCGTCTGGGATTGGAGGCTCCCATCTGGTTACAGCTGTCCTGTTTGTTTTCGAGGTAGTTACTGGCCGATTCAGCCACTGATGCTGCGTTCCCAGATGCAGAGATTTCATCAAACTTGTATACCTACATGCACCCTTCTTCGAACATCTGAAGTGTGTTTGAGTTTCAACCAGACCGGGGCTAAATAGCCCAAAGGCTAACCATTGTTCATCGGTCTATTAGGAACGGGTTAACTGCGTCTGCAGACGCGGACTACCGTGTGGTTGGCCCAGGCTCAATTTCCGACTGACGTTATGGGCACTCTCCCTAGACCGGGAGCTACCTCGGACTTGGGCTTCAGGACGTCTTGGTCTTGGGGTGCCTGTGCTTTGGTTGAGGGGAGAAGGGGCACTCAGTGTGCTCAGCACTCACTTTCCTCTAATTTCTCTCGGTTTCAGTTTTATCTTGTCCGTTGTGTGTGGGGGTGGGGGGGGGAGGGGGCTCAGTTGAAGAGAGCGTCTGCTGATCAGCTGCGTCGCGTGCTAGGCCCCTGGCTTGTTTGTTGTGTGTGTGTGGGGGGGGGGGGGGGGGGGGAGGGGGGGGGGGAAGCTCAATTGAAAGAGCGTCTGCTGATTAGCCGCGCTGCGTGCCAGGCCCCTGACTGGGCTCAAACACTGCTCCCGGGCAGGCGTCTTACTGTCCGCCGCTACGTTCCGCTTAAAAGAGTTGGAGACTAAATGACCTCAGAGGTTGGATCGTCGTCAAACCCTCAAAATCGTAAGTTTGATATTGAGTTTCAGCATGCAACTTGAACCTGAAGGATGTTAAGTTAAGTTGTAGCACTCAGTTCAAAATAATGGTAGGGTATTTATATTCAATTCGGATTATCGGAGCGATGCCGTGTTAATTTGAAAGTGAAAAAGTGAGGAATTTCTTCAACAACTTTTCAGCTAGCAGGAGTGGTCGGTGCTGGTATGTGTGTATCACTGAAATTGTCAGACATGTCTTTACGACATCGTCAGTATTGAATGCCTTATAGGAGTTTCCAATTTTGAAACGCCTTATGTCTGTTTTTCTCTCAACGGACCATGACAACGCGCCGTGTTCCCCCGGCTACCACGCCTTCCGCCTGCCGTTCGCCGGCTACCGGCGGTGTTGTGGTGCCGGCGTGTTGCCCCGGTCCCGTGCCGCAGTCGGGCCGCCGGCGCGCCGCCGAGCCCCGAGCGAGCGGCGCCGCCCCGGCCCCGTGGACGGGCAGCAGAGGACGGCCGCTTGGCCGGCGGCCACCAGCCGCCCTGCCGGGCCTGGGGCGACGGTCGCCGCGGGCGGGCCGCGGTGCCGCGAGACGGCGTGGCCGACCGGCGGTAATAATAGAGCGGTGGCAGCGCCCAGCCGGCGTCGCCTGCAGCCGTCCCACTCGTCACCTGGCACTGGATGTGATCGGGACAGGACGGCATTGTTGTCACGGCCGGGTGGGAGCGTCGGGCGCCCGCGGACAGCGGCAGTACCGGTCACTAGGCCTCACGGGCGGGTGTCGGA